AAAGCGCTCGGAGAAAATAAAATTATCACAATTACTGTTATTGATAATTCCACAAGTGAAATGCACTCTTAGCCTTCAGCACCCTAGGATCAGTATGCATATTCTCTATACTGTTCTCTATACATTTCCTTAGGTGCTGACAAGGAGAATTTGCTTCACAATCAAGAGCTTCTTTAGTTGGTGATCATTTTCTTTATTCTCATGACCTTACAGTGCGATTTAGGGGCGATATTGTGAGGAGAAATTAGATGCTGATCGCTGTTTGGGGTCAAGGGTTTAGGTCATTTGCATGTTGTTTGAATTTCCACCCTTAACGGCTCTTGGTGAAAGAAATTGAGACGTATATTCTTGGAAATTTATAGTAGAAGTTACGTGTCTCTCGCTTTCAGTTTTATTCGCAGACCGCAGGAGCCCATTGTACCCAAAGCTTTGAACTTCCATGGAAATAGAAATTAGAAAATTCTAAAGAAATGGTTATTACCTCGTGGTAATGATGAAGAACTTTCGTGGAGGATGTTAGAAGTTGCGGATTTAAAGAGCGGTTTTCTGTTCGCTTCTCAGTTTCCAGTTTGTTAGACTCTTTTACTTTTAAGCGAGCTTTCAAGTAAAGTAGGTGTAGATCGCCCTCGCAGTTCCCATTTCAGCATGATAAAACGGTAGTCATAATCGTGAATAATTACAATTTTAATGATACTTAAAGGAATGATTGCATAAACACGAGGTCCAACAGGAATTATGACCTGTCTTTTGGGAGTTAAGCCGGTATACTCTTAAGACTATTATTGAAGCCAAATAGAGAGAGATTCATACACACAGTACCAGATTCGCGACTAATTTTAATATTTACAGAACAAGAGCAAGTAATAACTATGGTACTACTACGTTTGCTTATGTAGCTTCAAAAATCTGAGAATCTATCCCCTTTGAATTAAAAAAACTCGTATAATTGTTTCTACAAGCAATACAAAATGTATCTTTAAAATACTCAATCTGTTTCCTGAGTGTAGTTTCCTTTGGTTTTTACTGTTGTGTAAATGCCTATAATGTACATGTTCAGGCCAATTAATTGTCTGCGGCAGTGGCCAACTACTTTGGTCACTGCGCACATTTTGCTTTTCAATACTTGTGTAATTTAATTTGCCTATGTCTCTCCTTTTTAATGTACTTTAATGTTGAAATAATTATTTGTAAATAGTGCAAAAATAAACAAAGACTAAAAGAACTAAATAATCGTACAAAAGTAAACTTCCAAAGCTTAATTCACACCAACAAAACATGTTTAACTTGAAACGGCTTTAACAACATGAGAGTCAGCGACAAGAAAAAGGGAGAGACTAGATTTTAGTTTTGGGCCAGATTGCTAAGAAATACTAAAAATGGCGGTCCGCGAGTCAATTTAGTATAATTTTAAAGAGATGAGCCACTCTTTGGAATTTTAAGCTTAACATAAGTGTCATTACTTCATACATACTTGTTAATGGCGGAGATGAAATTTATACGGTTTCTATAACAACTCCTTCCTCAGTGATACGCTGTCAAAAGCGAACTAACTCGCGAAGGCCTGATGTTTGCGCGTATTCCTACCACTTTAAATTACAGTTCCCAAGTTCCGTTAACACGACCACCATATGTTTCAAGGAGTGGCCATTCCTTAGTTTCTGCCTTCTAAGAAATGAGAATCTTTGCTCAAATTAATTAGCTGCGATTAAACTTGTGGTTTCCTGGTGTTCCTCCTTCGAAACGTCAACTTTGTCACTTTGGACTGTCAAATTCTGCATTTCGAAACGTGTGCTTCCGCTATCTGATCGGTGGATCGGCAACTTGTTATTTCTATTGTTCCCTGAGCCCGCTTTTTTCGCAAATTGCACGGATAAATGTGTCGTGCTCCACCTTTTTCCAGGATTGCCAGAAGCAGCTCTGGGATAGAGTTTAACGAAATCGTCGTAAGCATCACGGTAATGCCAGTTTGGTTTTTCATCTTTCCAGCCTTTGAACATCTCTGTGACCATTTTTTCGGCACCTTTCTCCGGAATTCCGTCGGGATAGAGTGTAATCTTAACCTCTTCCTCTTTTTCTTTTCCTAACTGGTCGTCGCCTTTTCTTTTGCTTTTGTTGTCTGCAGTGCTATTTCCCTGTTTGTCGTGGTCTTCACTGGGGTCTTCTTCACAGCGCAAACCCCTAGTGAACTCAGTAAAAGTCTTAATAGCCCATTTCGCCTCCCGTTCTTCAAAGGTGCATATGTCTATGAAATAATCGTAAAAGTACAGTTAGATTACCTAAACAAATGTCACTAGCTTTCGCAGATTTTAAACCAACCGCTGACGATTACAAAAAAACATCAACAACATCAGCAATGAATCAAACTAAAAACAAAACAGACGGCAAAGTATATCTGAAAAGTCTTAAAAAGACGGCCCTCAAGCTTTCGATATATGCCAAAACATGCAGGCAGACCCAAACCATTCAGATGAAACAAATACTCTGATCATAAATACCCTCTGGCGGCTACATGTTACGTTCCGCACGACCCTATATTTGATGTCCTCAGCGCCCTAAGCAATGATGATTGTGTTTATTATGTTTGATACTTTTCGTCATTTCACATATATACTCATGCAGTTTTATCGAATAGTACAAGTACTTCGTCGCAAATCATATTCGGCCTGTTCCTGCCAGTAGCAGATCAGTGATATGTTTCACGACTTTTGATGGAAACAGCCTCCTTCAATTCTAGGCGGATAAGTACGGGTTAGATAATACACAAAAGATATTTTGCGTTACCGTCTAGGATATCTTGGTCTTTGAGTATGCAATTCTTATTGATAATCACCACAGTAGCGAAAAAAGCCATGACAAGGAAAACTACCCAGGCGAAAATTTGTGATTGGGCCCCAGCGGTCTCTACTGCCAAGTCGTACTTTTTGAGCTCCTCTGGATCAGTTACGTTTCTCTTGCGGATATCCGGCCCTACCTCGCCGCAAATGTAGTAATCTTTTTGTAAAAATGCCACGCACAACCATACAGACGCCCCCACCAGTGCCTTGACTATGCTGGGAAAGGTGCGTCCACAGAAGAACCCAAAATGATAATAATCTGCCACCAGACACCTGTCAGAGAGTTCCCAGACGTCTCCGATGAGTAGCATGTTGAGGAAGAAAATAATCGTGGCTGGACCGTACAACCAGAAGCGGCCATAAATCTGATGATTCTCCAAGGGACAGTCAAAGACTTCGGCATTCAGTAGAAATTGAAGGCCAAGCACTGCTAGTGAAATTACCAGGTTCGTCAAAGTAGTCTTGTTGTTGGTGATTAGGCCTAGAATGGTTGTTTCTTCGTCAGGCGAGAGCGTTTTCTTGATTTTGTCTTTAACGACCTTGAAATATCTAGATACACGGCTGGAACCTTGAGCCCCATAATCTTGGGCCCCTGAATCTTGGGCCCCGGAATCTTGGGCCCCAGAATCTGGGGATGGTTCGATCACGTGTGTCTCATTACCAGGCTCTGTTCCCGCAGCGGACATTTTAGATGAAAATGGAAACTGCAACTATGATGGCAGTCGAAGTAAGTGCTTCCCACTGCTTTATTTACTTAAATATTTGTTCCTTTGCGTTTGATGGGCGAGCAGAGGCGAATGCAAAGCAAACGCAGGCGAACCTGTAGACCGGCGAAGGAGATCTAGAGCGATGATGTGCGCGAGGCGAACGCGAGGCGAGCGGTGCGCTTTACTGATGCTTACCTCCTCTCCCCTGAAGAACGAAAACAGAAAAAAAATACATTTGAATAATTTTTAAAAATAACATTTGAATAATTTTTAAAAATAATATTTGAATAATGAAAAATTATAAACGAAAAAACCTTTGTTGTGGTATCCTTTAAAACAAGACCAACTCGGCATAAAGAAAAATGCATCAACTTTTGCGGCACTCCAGCTCCTCACCATTTCCACCGCTGTCAAATAGGAGGAGTCATTTTTTTCCTCGCTGTTGAACAAGTATCTATTTCTTCACAATACTCATATTCAGCGTATTTTCAGTTTCCTTGCGTGCGGGCCTACTGACTAGAATTTGACAGATTTTCACAGCACCGCTCGCTTTGATCAGAGGCATTCAGCGAATAGGAAGGCAACCAACACTTCAGAACCTTCGCGACAATTCATGCGAGCCAAATCTTTCCGCGCCGAAATGATTATGAAAGCTTTTGATAAATAAGTTTCGTTTCAAAGATAATTTCATGCGAAGTCTTTGAGTGTGTGAGAAACAAAAGAACCTACCTACTTGAAACTCAACAAATTTTCAAGTTATAAGCCGACTTCCAGGCAAGGTGAGTGAGCTAAAAGACCTGTTAGTTACAGCAAGTTTATTTGATGCTTGAGACATGATCAGTACTAACGAAAATATAATTGATCGCATCCATGTGGTAGACACCGTTTCTATCAAAACATATGATCATCATTTAACTTCTGCAGCTACTATTTTGAAAATATCATTTTCTTTCAATCAATGTAAGTAGGCTCTTATGATTCAAACGTGACTCGAGCGGTGTCTCCGACATAGTTAGCAGCACATTGCAAATTGTATTCAAGAAATAAGTTATGAACCATTTGTCAAAAGGCTCAGAATAATAGCGAGCATGGATGATGTAAATTACGCCTTGAGAATACTCCCTGCGGTAACAATTTGATACTCCAGGGCTGTAGAGGGTCCCTCTCCGTCATCTGCTTTAAACTCAGAGCTTTGTCATTATCATCAGGAGTCAATAGAAAGATATTTTTGTTTGCTTGAAAATCGTGCAATCGTACGTGTAATAGCCTTCAAAATAGTCCACCAAAAGTCACGTAGTTAGTTTTTAGGTTCGAAAGCTGGATGACGGAAACGTTTTGATTTACATTGTACGTTTTAGTTAAACATGAAATTTAGATCGGGCTTTCGCTCAACGATCAAAAATGTCATGGACCAAAGTTAGAACCGATTCTTAACGAGGCACATTAAAATCGTTATCTAAGCTCTTAATTTCCTTCGTGAAAGCAATCTTGTGTGAACTGATCACTCACCGGAGATAGAGATTCGCCGATGCAGTGACTTTCTTCTGCACGAAACAATTATCTGGTGGTTTGATTCATTCCAGAGTGGCAACTCGATCAGCTCCATTAAATTTGGTCCATATAAACATGCGTATGTAGCATACAAATCATGACAGGTCAAACGTTTCATTCTGTGGGAAGGTCAATGTCAATTCAATTGTTTCGTCACAAAAACTTAGGAAACGCACGTTCGCTATATTTTCTGTTTTGATTCCCTGTTCGAAAAACGTGTAGCAACTGATAATTAACTGAATTTTTTTGAAAGTAAAGTTCCCAATTTTTCAACTTCGTTTTTTGATCCTAAAGTCAACCCTTATGTATATTGAACCAGTTTATGTTTGTATTGCTATGGTTTTATGACTCAAGCACGATTGTTAATTAACGTATAATCTACCTGAGGCGAACGCATTTACTGAGCACTACTCTTTAGACGATAGTATTTTTTTCGTCTGTATCATTGTTCCTTGACTAACCTCGAGTCTCAAAACCCGCGCAAGATAACGGTCGTTTTCCGGAAGTGTTTTTTTGTCAGGGTCCGAGAGGTTTAACTCTTCCATTAGGGAAAACCCAAAAAGCACAAAACTGTTTAACATCGCGTCTCTAGTGAAAACAATAACCAACGGTTTTACTAAAATATTGTCCACACACCCGAGTAATAAACTTGCTCTTTTGACTATGGTGCTCTACTATCTTGTTCTGGAGGTGAAGCTCGGCTAGTCTACTGTTTATTGATTTGAAATTTAGCATAGAAATGACAACGTAAACGTTTCGTGGTTAGGAGGTCAATTTAAGGTCAGTAGTTTCGTCACAAGGACTGATGTTCAGCACTCACGCTATCCTTCTTGTTAAGATTTCAGTCACGATTTTGAAAATATTTGACGAATTTTGTGGCTGGACTCTTAGTAAAAGAAAAATTCCCAATTCATCAACTTCGTTTGTCGGACTTTCATTTAAATTTTATTTAATCAGTCCCGGTTTTTGTGCTATGCTAGTTCTGGGCCGGTTACTTTTGAACGTGACCAAACTTGAAACGTAACCAAAACATTTCCGTGCGCGTGTGCATTTTCCTCATCGCTCCTTCCTGTGGCATAAGTCTTAAGACAGTGCAACCAAAAACTTCAGACAGCAGAACGATGATAGTAAATTATTTTATTACTTAATTTTCCGTTACATTTCAAAGTACTTATAACTCACGCAGTTGACTTATGTCACGTTCCCAACCTTATTCTTGTTTAGTTGCATGATAATTGGCAAAAACCCTGCAGTCATCGCTTGTAATTATTGGACCAGTTCATGTTTGTATTGGTTCTGTATCGTTATAAGACTTGGGCATGTTGTGAATTAATATATAATTCACCTGCCAGAGACTAACCCTAACTGCTTCTAAGACGATAGTGTTTTTTTTTTTCCGTCTGTATTATTGTTCCTTACTTCTAGTAAAAACTAGCCAGTGGGTTTACGTCCTCTAGCTTGAACATTTTGCGAAGAACAAGTCATTGGTTTCTCTTTTTCACGAGTAAAAAAGGGTCGGCAATCACATTTTCCTTGTTGTACGGTGTAGGTTTGTGGTAAACTCGAGGGAATTTATCAGCTGTCACCAGTCTTAATTGACTTATGCTGCTCATGAAAGACCTAGTTACATTCATTTGTAAGGAGGTGTGCAAAGGTATGTTAAAAAATGTTCTTTCTAACAAAAACCTCCGTTAATTTAGCTCAGATGAAGTGTTTCCGATGAGACTGTCCGTTTCGGCGGGTTCCTGTGTGATTTCATCATTGGTTGTAAATGCCATCTTCTGCATTTCCCAAACTTGTGCTACCATATCTTGTTTGGTGGACCGGCAGCTTGGTGTTTTCATCAGTGTTCACGGCATAGGCTTTTTTCGCAAATTGCTTTGATAGATGTGTTGTGCTCCATCTATTTCCTGGATGGCCATTAGCAGCTCTAGGATAGAGCTTTTTGAACTGGTCGTAAGCATCACGATAATGCCATTTTGGATTTTTCTCCTTATAACCTTTGAACATTTCTGTCACCATTCTTTCGCCAAATTTTTCCGGAATTCCGTTGGGGTAGAGTGTAATCTTAACCTCGTCTTCTCTCTCCTTTTCCTGGCCACCAGTTTCGTTCTCATTTGTTATTTCTTCATCGTGCAAACCCCTAGCGAACTCAGTAAAAGTTTTCTTAGCCCATTTTGCCTCGCGTTCTTCAAAGATGCGCATGTCTAGGGAAAGATACATAAGTAAGCGTAGACCTAGATCACTTTAATAGATATTTGACAGTTACGGCCGAGGCTGCATATTAAAAACACAGTCAAGTCACAGAAAATACTTGAGTATATCGCGAAAATCACACACAGAGAGACTGTCTAAGTTTTGTAGATTAGCTAAAACGTTCAGGAACGCCACGCCACGTTAAAACAAACGAGACTAGTCAAAAGTGCATGCTTCCAGCGTTAACCCTTTGCCTGATCCCCTCCACACCATAATGGCACAACGCAAGAAATATTCAGTCATGGTTCCGCGTAATTTTCAGTCGTGATGCACAATCGAATACTACACGTGCCTCGTCATCAATCAGATTGTACGATTCTAAGAGCGGGCCTCTTACGGTATCGCCGTTATACAACACTATTCGTAAATTAAGAATAAAAAAAAGAAAGAAATTGCGTTACCGTCTAGGATGTCTTGGTCCTTCAGACAACAATTCTTGCTGATGACCATTACAGAAGTTAAGAAAACCATGAGCAAAAATATTGCCCAGGCGAAAATTTGAGATTCGGCACCAGCGGTCTCTACTGCAATGTCGTATTCTTTAAGCTTCTCTGGATCAGTTTCGTTTATCTCTCGGATATCCGGTCCTACCTCTGCACAGACGTAATAATCCTTTCTGTAAAATGCCAAGATCAACCAGACAGATGCTCCTGCCATCGCTTTGACGATGCTGGGAACAGTGTGGCCACAAAAGTAGCCAAAATGATAATAGTCGCGTACTAGACACCGGTCGGAAAGTTTCCAAATGTCTCCAATGATAAGCAGGTTGACAAAGAAAATGATCGCTGGTGGGGCGCACAACCAGGAGAGAGCATAGATTTCATGATGCTTCACGGGGCAGTCAAAGACCTCGGAGTAAAGCAGAACCTCGAGCCCCAGCACTGCTAGGGAAATGACCATGTTCTTTAGAGTGATCTTGTTGTTGGTGATAATTCCTGGGATAGCTGGACGTCCACCAGCAGCTGAGAGTGTTTTCGTGATTTTGTCTTTAATCGTGCTGAAACATCTAGTTCGGGTAGTAGAGACTGCGTCTGACTCCACGTCGGTCATGGTGGATTGACGATTGAATCCCTACCTATGATGAAAAGCTGAAGCTAAGTAGTTCTCGCAGTCTTTTTTACGCAGGATAGCATTTTAAATCGCAAGGGGTAACTTTTGGGAGAGATAAAGGAAGTATTGCGCTTCACAGAGGCTTGCCTTTCCTTGCCTAAGAAACCTGAAATTAGAATGTACTGGTTGATTTTTTTTTGTTTTGTTTTTTAGATCATAATGCCCTTTCTCTCAAGTTGGACTTTGAACCACAACCTGCAGCTGTAAAATAATTCAAGTAGTTTGGTCGGTCGTTTTAAAATAAGATAAACAAGGACCAGAGATGAAGTCATCCGCGTATCGGTTATGGCTTCCGCTCATCAAGAACCTTCAAATAAATCCCCTTTTCAATATTAATACAATTCGAAGTTGAAGGCACATTCCGCTTTGATTTGAACGGATGACCAAGAAAACGCGGACACGGAGTGATGTCAAGTACAACTTTTGATGACATTTCTCCGAACTAAGACAACGACAACAACAAGAAAGGAAAAAAGAAACTTAAGGATTATCTGACTAGATTTCTAAGACCAGAAGTGACGTTGTATGTAACTCGATATATGAAGTAATAGAGAGAACAAACGTGACACAAGTCGACATCGAATATGCCTGCCCCTGAATTTATACACGTAGCGAACTGGTTAACAGTTATCATGAAAACTGGATGACTGGAAAAAAATAATTTTGTCTTACGACTCTCTCGACTCTTTGTAAACAGTAAAAATCAATTGGTGTTACAACGAGATAACTGTGGAAAACGTTTTCTGTGACACCAAATTAACTCACACAAGGTCTCTGAAATTCCGGTTTTAATGCTACCAACTTAACTCGCTTCTTGCGACAACAACAACAACAACAAAAAAAAAAAAAAAAAAAAAAAAAAGAACGTCACCGAAACGTTCTGCACGTGGTAAAACTAATCTGAGCATAGCGAGGCCGCGAAGTCACACTCGTCATGAGCCGTCACGCAATGCAAACAAAACATTCTGAACATAACACCTTCCAACCAATGAGCAGTTCTCCATCTCATTACAACTTAACTTGATTATGTGATGGAATTGTCATCAAAAGTTTTTCAATCACTTCAATAGAAAAACGGCTGGCTGATAAAGGGGAAACTAGCCTTACTCGATCTACAGTTTTTATTAGCATTAAGTTCTTAGCGAATTTCGCATAACTCTCTCAGAAAAGGCCCCCCTTTATAGATCTAATCCATGAATTTATTAATAAATGTTTCTGCCTCTGATCATCAAAGTCATTCGGTCAATTTTGAAGCTTGAAAATAAGTGTTTATACATAAGCATCAGCAAAGGAGACAGATTTGGAAGGAAGAAAAGGATATTTTATCCATTGATATTAAAGAAGTACTCATGTTTTTCGCTCGCAAAACTTTGAATACAGTTTGAGAAATCTACCTTTCTTATCAGCCACTCTAAACAATGATATTAATTAGGTTATTCTCCCAAAATGTGAAATATCAGGGCAAAATCGAGTTATGCGTTTCGTTTTAAACTTTACAGGTTCGAAATTCGGTTGAAACGATTTATTATGCCAGATACCCATGATTTGGGTCAGGCTTGCGTTTCATGGTCCGAAAACTTCGTTAATTCTTGTGAGCAATTACTAACAACTTGAGCCGCGAAAGTAAACAGTAGTCTGTATGCCGAAACATTTACTTACCGGAGTAATAAACTTACTTTTACTTTCCTCTTTACGAATCTTGCTCTGGATGTATAGCACAGCCAGTCCACTTTTTTTTTTTATTTGAACCTTGGCGTACAAATGACAGCTTAACGTTTCATGAGTAGAAGGTCAATTTCACGTCAGTTTTTTCGTCACAAAAACTGATGTCAAGCACACTCGCTTTCCTTCCTGTTCATATACCAGTCACGATTTGGGAAATATGCGACCTACTCTATGACTAGACTCTTAGCAAAAAAAAATTCCTAATTCCTCAACTTCGTTTGTTGGATATTTATTCAAAGTTTATTCAATCAGTCCCGGTTTTTGTGTTAAAGTACTGGGCTGGTGTTTGAACGTGAATTAACATAATTTGCGCGAGGTTAACCAAACTTGAAACGTGACCAAAACATTTCCGTGCGCGATGACATTTTTTTCCTCATCGCTCCAAGCTCCGGCATAAGTCAGAACGGTGCAACTAAAACAACTTAAGGCCACAGAAAGATAATATTAAATTATTTTAATACTTGAAGTTCGGTTAAATGTCGAAGTAATTATATCTTATTAGACGTTTTGTTGTATAGTATCGCTGAGTATTTTTACGAGTTGTGCCGTATTTTGACGAGCCCGTAGGGCGACTCAAAATACAAATAACGAGTAAAAATACTCAGCGATACTACACAACAAAACGTCTAATAAGGTATTTATTATCCAACACGCCAAACTGTTATTTCAGTGCGGGCGAATTTCGCGGGAGTTACTATATCACGGGCGACGAGCGGGGCGAGAAATGTAGTCTGAGATATGAGTGGTCAGCGATGAAATAGCTTTAATACATCATGTAGAGACAAATCATTTGTAGTTGTTGCATTAAATAATCGTGGTATCAATCCCGAAATTTTAACAATAAATTTTGCTAAATAACAAATTAAGCAATTTTTCAAAAGCTTCGACTATAAATATATTTTTCACTGCTCTAATAAGCAACGAAGGTATCGGGAGAGGTATCAAAAAATTATATTTTTGTTTGGTAACTTGCTACGCGACGTAAAGAAAGTATCGTGACCGACTTCCGGTTGTCCAAGGCGTTAATCACAGCTGGCGCGCTTTTCACTTGATTTTTGCAATCTCTACTATTTTTCCGGGAAAAGAAAAGCTAGGGAACTCTACAAAAATTTAGTTCTCGATCTGAATAGTTTTTTAGTCTTTTTATAAGTTTGTATCTACAGGCTAAGATGGAAAACTTTCATAACAAAAATTCAAGTAGCTGAAGTTCTCTTACTTCATATTATATATAAACAATCGCCTCTATTCCATGTTAAAATATCCAAGGAGGAAAACTCAGAGCTTCAAGAAACAGCCAAATTAAGGCTAATGTGTTTACCATCCCTCAAATGTTTCGATAAAGGTCGCTCGATTTAGGAGACCTTTTCTCAAAACAACCATATGATAAATAATTATGTTTTCCGTTCAAACTTTTTCTTTCTATTCACTTTAACAGAAGCACTCAGGATGAAAACTAAACGTCGAATCGAACAAAAATAAAACATCTTGAACTCTGAGATGTTCTTCATATTGTTGGCTCCATCACGTTACGATTTTGGATCCGTGACGTTCCTGAATATATATTTTAATCGATTACCAAGAACTGTATTCGCAATCCTGGTAGATTAAGGTCTAGACATGACATTAAAGTCCACTTGATCCGAAAAGAAGCCACCCTAACGGCAGGTGAAATGTTGTGTAAGCGTCTCTGCGAAAGGCACATTCAGACAACTTGCGTGGAAAAACTGGCCACAGCTATCACACCCAAGCCAATCCTCTCCATCGTCGTCTTTACAAATCTTACAGACTGCGGTGTTTCTCCTGTAATTGAACAAAAAGATACAGTTAGTTGATGAGAGTTTTGCGGCATTTGAGAAACAATACTGTTTGATACCATCAAAGCTTACTCATCAAGGTCATCGTAACAGGAGCCAAATATGACAGACGTTATTCTCTCTCTTTCCATTTGCACGTTGTAACTTCCATTGACATCTAACCCCTCACACAAACACCGAGCAAACTGAGAACAAACAAACAAAACATTTTATTACATTCGAAACTAGGATGTAGAGTCATATCAAAGCAGGTTTTAGCAAGTGGTTATGCTACTCACAAGACATACAATCACACCACAGTTATAACTATCAGTCTGTGTGTAATGTAGTGGCTCAACACACGGCCATGACTTGCAGTTCCATCCCGTTTTGAGATCAGCAACGGCACTGCAGAGTCAAACAAAGTACAANTCGAAATCAAGCGATCCAAATCTGATTTTCCTTTCAGGATTCAGTTTATCATTAAACATGCAGCTAACCTTTCTCTTAGCGTCACCATCATCAACATCGTCTTTGCTGTCTCCAACGAGAATCACATCAGCCTTCGGAGTCTTCTTTTTCCAGCGCCGTCTGGGGGGCAAATGCTTGTGAAATACTTGATGGTATATAGTTGACGTGATCTTTAATTTCTTCTTGACCGGGCTTATTCTGAGAGGAATACCATTTGTTGACGAGCAGCTCTTCTGCAGCATCAGCTGAATATTTTCCAATTGCTTCAGAGCTGCTGACATTGTGCTCTCGTCATCTACTATGTACGCAGTATTCTTGACAGTATCGATCTCATCAAGAAATCGTTTCCTCAGTTTTTCAACTGTAGGAACCAGAGTGGTGCCACTGGGACTGTTGTTGGGTAGCTGGACATCTGACCTCTCCTCAGGATCTGCTTCTGCTCGTTTGCACTTCATTGATTCATCGCCAGAGGTGTTGGCTAGCCTTACATGGTCGTCAGAGGATGATGATACTTTCGCTGTACCGTGGGGAATGCCAGACCTCTGTGCGCTATTGTCGCGCTTATTTATAATAAAGTGATCCAGATCAAGAGAGATGAAGACACTGCTCCTGTATTGATGGGGTAGTGATTCAAATCCCCACTCAGAGTAGCAGGCAAACGCTGCAAAGAAATGTTTGCAGGGGTAATTACTTTTCAGCCACGAGGCACAAGTACAACTTGGATACGAAAAGTCAACTAGCTCCTTCTTGTTTATATTAGCTGCGCTTTTCACGTTGAATTGGCCTTTCTGAAAATTTACGAATGAGACGTTGGCTTCGGTGAATTCCCCAGCAGCAAATCTACTATTCAAACAGTGTTTAACGAACTGTGGTGGTCGGTTGTGTAGATACGACGGTATCCTAGAATTGTATCTTCCATAGGCATCGCTAAACTTCAAGTTCTTTTCCAAATAGCTTCTGTGCGAGTCAGGAACGAAAGACTCTACCAGCATCGTTGCAATGCCATAAACTGATTTGTCAATTGATCTCGGAAGGTAATCGTACTTGAACAATTTGTTTTGCGCCTCAGTGCCATTATTGGTGTTAACTATGTTTGTCACCTGCTGCTTTCGAAAAGCTTGCGCCCAACGAGCTTTGCATGATAGCCATGTGTTGTTTAGATAGTTCTGAACATTAGGTTTGTCTTTGTAAAGTCGGGATTCTTTCAAAGCATTTAATCGCTTCTCTAATTTGTCTACCGTAGGAGCATAGGCGATGCTCTTCATGAGCTCTAAGAATATTTCCTGCTCAGCAGACGAAAGGCCATTCTTCTTTGACTTCGACCAGCGTTGCATTGCTTGCAATCTGTGGAAATCACATATATACACCACACTTTTGGGAAATTGTTCTTCGAGAGCAGCGATTTCTGCATTGGAGTAATCCACCATGAAGTACGCCGGATTCCACGCTGGGTTCCATCCCTTAATTATAGCAAGTGCTTCACTTATAGAGGCTTGATCCTCTGATTGACACATAAATTCAGCCACGACCTTATATCCCACGTTAGTATGTACACAAACGAAAAAGAGAGGAATTGCGTACCTTGTAGTTTTGTATGTGGCGTCCATCAAGGCCAGTTCACTACCATATCTTTCAAGCATTCGTTGTTGCCATGGCTCTTGATGAACAAAGAGGAAGGTCTCCCCAGCAGCTCTAGATCTTGGTTTATCTATGTCGTTAATGACGACGTCTCTGGTTCTGTAAAAGAAGTTGCTTTTGGGAGACTTGGTTTGCCATTCTTCAATTTTTCTAGCCAATGCTTCTTGGTCATCATCGCAATACTTCACTGCTGAAATCGCCTTGGCAATGTGGTTACGCAAGTCCCGGCGACCAGGGTAGTATCGTCTGTTTGTCTTCTTCGGTCTTCGTTCCTCGGGTTGGTAAGAAAATAATTCTTCTGCCACATACTTGTCAAGGGACCTTTGCACCTCAGAAAGGTTGGTTATGTTTTCTTTTACAAGCTCGTAGATTTTGTCGACTACACGTTTATCGACGTATTGTCCTATCGTGGACGACTCCCCGACAGGGTGGTTGACATGGGTGGAGCTCAAGGGGATCTTCACGTAGAACCGCGTCGAAGTACGGAAACTAAATCCCGGGTCTCTTTTCGATTTGTCATTGATTTCTTTTAGAATGGCCCTCTTAGCCATCACAAAGCCATTATCCGACAGGCACCTTGCCTTGTCAACGAAGTAATCGTTATACACCTCAATACAACGGATCTGCATAACGGCTGAGCAATCCAATTTTCTCGAATTCTGCAAACGTATTCTGCTCTTGCTTGCATAGTCGTGTACGTTATTGTTGTCTTTCTTCAAGGTACAACCTCCGCGGGCATCCTAAGCGATACATAGGATTTAAATATAGATCACGGACGTGTTCTACGGGGGCAAAATTTATATTTCTCTCAGCAGCGATATCATTTGGGATTTTCACTGACCTCGCTGCTATTTGACCAAAGAAATATGAGGTCAACACCCTTCCCCTCACATTTCTTTGGGTAACTTGGTCATTAGCAGCTCAAATTCAACCTCTTGACCCTCAGTTTCCCTTCTATTTTTTTCATTACCTTATTTGTTTACTTTCGAATTGTCTGTCTGTTTATTCATTTATTGTAATTATAACCAACCTTTGTAGATCCATGTATACAATGTCGAGTTTCACTGCTACAGATTGAAAAGGGATGGCCAAAGAAATGTATGGGGACATTTCCGCGGTTATTTTCAAAGACAGGAGGTGCTGACAAATGAAAACAAAAAGAATTGTTGAGCAACATGTCTTATTTCCGGTTAAAGTGCAAAGGTTACAATTGGGACTTTCACAAGGCGCTAAGAACCCGACAATGAAAACCTTTGACCCAAAGCCACAGTTAGCTGACCGTTAAAGTAGAGACAGATGAACAACAAAAGAATGACAGCAACAACGAAAACAAACAAAGAAACTCAAATGAAATAAAAACAGGGAGTGCAGCCGTAGCGGTCGTCTTTCACAGTTTGCATAAGACTGCAATCCACAAACTCTGAAAGAAAGAGGTGGTTCTTATCTATCTCAATTATCCCTGAATTACACAGAATAGAATAGGAAAATATTTTTTTTCGTAACTACAATCCAATTCTTCGCTTGCGCGATGCGAGAAAACCTGTTTAACCGGTACTTCAATAGACGAGTACAAATACCGCGTGATATTTGTACTCGTCTATGGCGTTATTTGTACTCGTCTAGGTGTAGTTGGATAATAATTATAATTTACGCAGTTGACTTGTCAGTGTCACGTTCCTTACCTTATTCTTGTTCAGTAGCAGGAGAATTGGCACTCATAGGCCCGTGGATGCCGCTGATTTTTCAAATATCTTTATTTGCGGCTTGAAATAGTTTCAATATATTTAAACACTAAATGCACCAACGAAATCGATTCAAAGATTCAGGATTCATCTTTCGGCAAAGTTTTAAAAAATTCTGTTCATATAGTTGAGACTGTATTTAATTTTCTTTTGTCCAAAGTCGACAACACAGTCAAGGTAATTTGGTAATATAAACTAAGTTGAAATTGTAAATTGGCCACTGTAAACAGTTAAAAAGCTGAAAAAGCCAAAAAGCTGACGTTTCGAGCTTTAGCCCATAGTCAGAACACAGTTTAGAATTTCCTTGAATACATTTTCAGCCAGAAATCTTCATAAAGCAAAGCGCTGGTGCATCACTCGGCCATAAGAACGGCCATGAGAACAAATCATTTGGTACTGTCTTGTAGTTTTTCAGCAGTGGCTCTCTAAGAGTTCTCTGAAGAATTCTATGATTACTCGTTTAAATACTTCGTTATATCCTGACTAAACTCTAAAAGCGTGAGAGGGGTGGAAACAAGTCAGAGTGTGACACGTAACGACGCAAAGAAGGGACGACGGAAGGGCAGCTCCATCTCACCTCGCGTGCCTCCTGCTCACTTTTAAAAAAGACTGGGAACGAGTCGTGGACATGGTCGTATAAATCAAGGGTTTCATTTGGTTGCCCAGTTGCGTTCAAACATGAAACAGATACTTGACAGTGCATGGTCTATGTTGATCGGTGACAAGAAGTGTAATCCAGTGGTAGAATTATAGACTCTTTACCAAGGTTTCCCTGATTTTCAAAATTGTTTCTCCCCGGTCTATTAAAAGCGCTTATTATTTCTTCCACGGTGTCATTCAAATGGTCAGTCAATGAATTTTTCAATGAGTCTACATGACGTCTCACATGAAGACAGGTTCGGACGATCAACTTACTTGCCCGTAACGGACTTATTGACTTGGAGAATTTCGATAACATTTTAAGTTTCAAATGTAATGTGCTCTAGTCAAATCAGTTTCAATTATCGCATGGAAATATTTGGATTTTAACTCCCCGTTTATCGTTATTTTTTAGTACATTTTACTTTGTTTTATGTTTTTTTTTTTAAATTTTACTCGCCTTGCAAGCCATCAAAATTGAAACAAGGGCTTTTTTGTGGTTTTAGGGAATATCATGTTATTTCAGAGTGTAATTTAAACGAATGAAGTAAATGGAATTTTTTTGGATTAGTCTACGAATCAAATTCACTCAACACAAGTAGCCATAAGCTACATAGTTTCGAGAAGGGTCGAGAGTATCCTTAGACACAGAGTATAGCTTTGTTCCCGCGCATGACTGTAACGGTCCTAAGAATTAGACTGTTACTTTAGGTTTCATTGTAAAAAATGCTGTTGTCGGCGTTTTTATCGCGTCAATGACTTATTCAGTTTCTGTAAACCTAAATAAACTGTTCAAAACAAAAAGTTGACGAAAAGACGATGTTTTTGCCATCCGTCGTTGAAAGCACCTGACTAGATGTTTTTTCAATTCAAACTACTTGACCTCCCGTTGACTTTGAAGTTACTATGATGTCAATGTGATTAGATAGAGCCGAGTGCAAACAAGACGGTATCAGTAGCAAGGCGCTTTATGACACCGTGTCATTAGATTGAGTCATCAATTTCAGGGGCATTACTTCATTGTTTAACTCGTTGCCAGCGCCTTCAAAGCACGCCTGGCAGTTAATTGTGACACATGCACACAGGGGGGACAGTACAACTTAACATAGCGTAGAAGCAATATGAATAGTCACTTAATTGGCTTTAGTGGCCAGCCTCAGACGATTTCCAAGAAACATTTCTAAATTATTTGGTAAATATTTGGATAAAATCATCTGATGTTACGGCGAACAGGAAAAATGAGTAAAATTGTGGAATGAAATGTCAGGACGGCGTAAAAGTGATGATTTAGGTCAATGAATGGTAAATTGGTGCATATTTTTTCATGCAGCGCACTCGATGAGCTTAACTGAATATTCCACCTGTTATACTCTTCAAAAGTCATCCTTTTAAACGGTTCAGTGGCATCACATGTCTTTCAATGTCTTCCTTGTCAGGTTGATATCCATCTACGGGCTGAAATGTGACTTATCTGTCCCCGCCACAGATTTGAATCCGTTCCATTCTGTGAGTCGAGTTGCGACGCATCCGCTTTCAATTTGGTCCACTACCCATCTTGAATGTTGCTGTTAGAGCTAAAGGGTGTGAATGTTTTTCGTTTAAGCGCCGACAAGCCCGTGAATTTCACCACAATGACGTAATTGTTTGAAACTGCCAGAATTCTCGTCGTGTGATGTCATGGTAATGCTTGTCAAGCAGGATCGTAGATGGGTTCCAGTTGTAGTTGGTACGCGGATCCCTTAACAATCGGTTTTTTTTCCTATTTCTGCGGCGATTTTCAAACTTGGACCCTGATGCGAGATTTAACAGATTTGGAAGACTCGTACCATGATAGATTAATTAATCTCAATTATGGCCACGATGATTTGTTAAAGTTTTGGTCGCGGGGAGCGAGAAGACATTGAATTGCATCCATGGTAATTTGGAGAGTACCGTCCTATCGTATGGTCGATTTTCAATGTGCATAAGAGTGGGGAATTCTGGAGATGTCCGAAGCGTTAGAAATTTGCGTACCAAACGCATTTGGTTTGTCATCTTGTCAGTCGGCCTGTTACAAGGTACTTCTGTTGAAATGTTTTGCTTGTGTTTCTATTGATCTTACTTCTGGTAGAAATCCTAGCACATATGGTAAAATGATATGAATCGTTTGTTGAATTCGTCCCTCTAACAGTTCGGAGACCTCAGCGAGTTGTGTTCTCCAAGCTTTTTTCAAAGAGGGAGAATTTTGTTAAACGAAACTGTCGTGATAGTTCTCAACATTTTAGTTTGATTAACTTAATTAACATTTGTTTGGATGGCTTAAAATGAACACTGTTCTTGGCCTCTTGTGTCAATAACTACACTCGCTGGTTAATTATTGTCATCTACACAATCCTTTCCTTAATCACTGTTTTAACGATAATCAACCACAACCTTCAATAATCATCAAAAAAGAACCAAAAATTCCACGAATAAAGAACGGCAACTTTTTTGTAGTGATCATGAGTCTTAAGTTGACATTCATTTAACGCTCGTCCCACTTGCAATTGTGTACTTTACACTCTAAATCTTACTGATTCATAAATTCGATAGCGTCTTTCTGGGTCTAAGGAACAAAATTCAATCCATTTTATTGACGATCACATGCCAAAAGTTTGATTTTTGTAGAATGAAGGGAAATGGTTGGCTTGCAATCGCCGATGGAAATACCATTTTCGTTTGTCTCTGCTTAACGTTCGAAAAGCGTGAAGGCTCACGGTTTACGCCTCGAAGACAGGTATTCCTAAATAATTTACTTCTTGGGTTCAAAACCGGTTTGGAAAGCCAAATAAAATGTAGCAACCTTGTGATCTAGGGCAACTGTTTTATTTGCTATTTGGATAATACCTTGTTGATTTAGAAAGCTGGTGTAAGGATGAAGCAACGTGTTCTCGTGAAATTGACCTTCGAGATGTGTTTGCATAAACAATAAGAAAAGCTACCTGCTAAGTCAAGTGTCGAACTATGCTCCGGATCACTTGCTCTCAAAGGCGAGAACTCCTGAAAGATTTTCACTTTCGTAGTAATTGCACTTTGGAAAGGACGCCCGGCCCCATATAAACCTGCGATGGCTTCGAGGACAAAAAAACAAGTGTTAAAAAAAAGAAAAAAATAGTGTCGCAGAATAGACTTGTGGCTCGCTAATTCGTGTTTTGTTTGTCGCGCATCAACACCTTTTTTCCGCTCTATTTCCACCAAAAATTTCCCTCCAAACTTTCCAAGAATGAAGAACCGATCATAAGAAATAGTGTAATCAAGCTGGAATCTAGCAATTGTGATGAAATAAAAGGATATCACTCTTGCGTATACAGAAAGATCGTCCAACCATACTCTTCAAATTAACTGTGTCAAAGTCCGTTTGGTATGCGGTTAATACCTAATTGTCCGAAGATAACTTGTGATTGTTAAGTGTTGAAATAGTTATCGAAGAGATGACTAGTGAAACATCAAGTAATTATTGTAGAGTTACACAAATATGTATAAAGGTGTGTGTTCTGACGTTTTTGTTTTTTTCTTTCGTACATAAAATATGTTGGAATTGATAAAATATTCGTGTGACTTTTATCCTTTTTGTTTTATTGCTCAAGTAATTTGGTGTAAGTGGATGTCATTCATGTATGAAAAATGCTTTTTCCTATCGAGGAAATTTCCTTTAATCATTTACATTCGAGATGAGAGGCAAGATCAAATAGTTTAACAAAGTTCTTTCGTCTAGAATGAACCGGTAAACGGCATGAAAATTCCTATCTCTTCCTTAGGAGAAAAGAGGAGCTGATGAAGATTCATTAGAGGGCGAAATACGGATTTTATTCATGTTTCAGTCATGAGCCATTTAACGTGTCTTTTTTTTTTTTTTACTTTTAAAGCGCACCAATGGATCCCTTTAAGTACATATTTTAAATAGAAACCGTATTTTCTTCTATGAGTGTACGTTTTCCTCATTTGGACAAAAAAACAGTTTTCTGCGTTTGTTCTATTTTACTTTAATAAAATAACTTATGTGTTTTCATTTGATAATTTTAAAAAAATTATCAGTAAAATAAAGGGTACGGGTTTTGTGGGTGACTGGAAATCTTCAGTGGTAATGATTTTGCATCCAGTTATGGCCTCACGAGCTTAGATAGCTTTATGTTATTAGTGATTTCTGAGATTTCACCTTTCTAAGAGGTGCGTACCTTGAGAACCTTGTAATCTCAAATGTTATCTTGTAAACTTATTTCATTTTTAAATCAAGGTGTGGTTTTCATCTAATTCTTACGTGAAAAAATCATTAACCAACGGCAACCTACCTAGGGCGTTTTAACGTTTAAACACTGAAGTGACTGCTTAGAGGGGGGAAATCAGGGCTGGCCAAAGTCCATTCCACCAGTGTTAACTCTAGTCTTAGTCCGGAGAGGGAAAGTCCGTTTTAAAAAACGCTCCCAAAGTGAATCCACGCTCACGAAATGATATTTCCCCTCTTTTTCAAAGGTCGTTTTTACCTTGAAACAAATTCCCCGCTGCCGTCAACATATTGCTTGTATCATATTAGGGTTAGCCTTGATGCAGACTGAGAGAGGATCGGGCGTTATTCCTCGTGCTGACTTAAATGAAAATAGACTGTCGTTCGAGAGACCGTTTAGTAAATTCAAGTGAACTCGACAGATCCCAACGCTTAGACCAGAAGCCGTTTCCTTTTGCTCCAAAAAAAACTCATGAAAACCTTTAGGCCAAGATATTTTGAGTTTTTGTTACATTTTACGTATGTTCTCACCCTTTTTCCGCAGGCTCTACTCAAGCACATTTTAACGATTCGTTCAAATCATCTTCAAATCTACTTTCAACGAATCTGACTGATACCAGAAAAGATGGAATCCACCCTTTCCATGTACAATCATCTTCATTAAGACAAAACCTTAAAGATGAACGTCGTTTGGATGTTTCCTTCGCAAAAGAAATCAGAAGGCGTTCGACGAAAGCCAAACACCATGTTGTGTCTGATAAAGTACCACTCGAAACAATAAATTCTAATGTCACGTTCACTGTTAAAGCGCAGCGGATTCCTTCAGATAATGTCACCCATTTCTCTCATAGTGTCACACACTTTTTTAATTTAACACGCTCTTTAAATGATTTTAACAAAATTGGAAGTGCCTTACATACTTCTCGTGGTAATTCTAGTCCCGAAATACAAGCCTCTATTGGGGAAAGATCGAAGGAAGGTGGCAAAAGAAGAGCCAAGAGGGGCCTGAAACTATCGTTAAATAAACCAGATCGGTCAAAGCTTCCCTCACATTATGAACGAGAGAGAACAAGCGACAAAGCTAAAACACACTTTGATTCTAGGGAAAAGAAGAGGAGAAAATACTCGTCAACAGTCATCAGCGAGCGACATCATCGTACACGTTCAAAACATCACGAAAGAAGCCTGAGGAGATTTAAGCGTAAAACTGCCGTTTCTGATGAGGATGAACTTAAGCAAGAACGTTCTGTGAAGAGGATACGATCTCTGTATCATCTTCCGCTTCGTCTTGGTGGTGAACGAGTTTTACTGAGATTCAAACGTAAGTCGATTCCGGGACAGGGCGATGAGGTGGCACCGTCCAGCGACATTAAAGAACATAAAGAGAAACAACGCCCTCAAACAACCCATAAGAAACATATAAAGCCTCGAAGTGTATTTAAAGGAAAATCATCTACAGTTTCCTTAAATGGGATCATAAAGGGAGATTTCCTGAAAGAAACAGAGTGGAGGGCACCAAGTGATACAACAAATTCTTACAGCAAGGCTCTTGTTGACAGAAATGTCATTCCTCATGCGACATATGATCCAGTAATATACGGGGCAAAGAGCTCTTCTCGGTCATTGAATCCAGCTAGACTATCCTCGATTCCCAAGGAATACAGTGCAATTAGCAACCGGAGACAGAGCGTTTCTAGCATCAACAAAGCTCTTTATCCCCCTGCGTCGACACTGAGTAATCAAGCCATAGCTTTGAAATCAGAGCCAAGGACACCACAAATTGCCTCTCTCTGGAGCACAGATTTTCCGCAAAACGCACCAGTTCTCAAGCAATTAAATATTCCGCATCCAGTGAGATATGGATACGGTGCTGGACAGCAACAGAAAAACAGTTTACAAAACACCGAGGATCAGAATAAAAAGCAGTTTATTCCCGCTTCACAGCGTTCTCCGTACGGTTATGGACATCAATTCAATTACCAGCCCCGGTTTATTAAATCGCAGATGGCGCTCGCAGGTGGCAACCCACGAATCATTTCCTTTCCTAAAATGGGATCAATCAAACCATTGCCTTTTTCTCGAGAGGGGGCAAGAATGAATCCAGAATGGCCTGTAGCCTCGCCTACGGTGAACTTTCACAATCCATTAAACTTTGGAAACGGTTTTTTACAGCGATCACGTGTTCCTGAAGGGCTTGTCTTGTACTTGAATTTTGAGAATGTGCAAAATGGTAGAGCAGCGGTTGCATCTTTGAAGGGAGATGTGACAGGCACGGACAAGCGAACAGAGATCACAAAGTTTTTCGGATCATGCGGTAAAGTTGCAAGGATAAACAACGGAAGCGAGATACTTCTGGACGGAAAAAAGTTGAAGGTAAATAAAATTAACGCATGTAGTGATGATGAATGGGTTTAATGAGATGGCTCTACAGTCTGCAAGTTTAGTTTTTTTAAGTTGAAGCTGAACGTGGATTAGATTATGACTAAATGGTCGTTAGTTGTGGTCATGATGGGTTGAACAGCTTCACAAACGCTGCGTTCATACTGGGCTTAAACTGGCGTCCACAACTGATTCTCGCTCGAAACGCCATTTATAGTGAGCTATCTACATTGATTTCCAAGGTGTCTAGTTAATTAACATCAACGTTTCTCGCAGATGCCTCAAACCTGAAGACGACTAAAACCTGAGGTGATAAACATGATTGGTTTTGCTCCGTGTCTTCCGCATTACTTCGAGAGAAATCGTGCTAAATTTTGGATAGGGACAATAACGATAGCTTTCGTAACTGTAAAACAGTTGTTTCAAGTTGTGACATACATACAAGTTTGTTGCTAAGCTTTTAGGAGAACTTAGACGCTGGCCTTTAGAGGCTTAAATCGTTCAACTGACCGGATGAATTCACCAACCATTCACGCAAGGGGCGGGGTAGCGTATTCAAATTTGCATAATTCATCTCTCGCATAAAACGCCAGGTATTGTGGGAGATGATGTAAACTCGTTTCCTTGGTGCGACTTGGGACGAAGATTGTAGTAGCTCTTTAGGGAAACAAATTCCTCGACATTTTTACTGGGTTAGATATCTTTGGAGATGCGATATCATGTCTTCATTTTGAGTTTTGTTCTTGGAATCTCTCTTCAGATGAAGCCCCGTCAGGCCGTAAGTATTGCAGCGTGGATAAAACTCGACTCTAACAAAGGTTATCACTCGATATTCGACACAGTAGGTGGCCATTCAATGCATCAGAAAGGACAATATCATTTCGAAATTCAAGATGGCAGCCTTCGGTGGTTCCACAGGAATGAAACTGGGGTTACAATCTTCAGCGTTGAAACAGGTATGGCGGCGAATGACAGTTCAAATGAGTCGTCAAGACCAGCTCTTTGTTACTTCTTCACGCGGGATAATTTATTCTTTTGGCGAGAGAAGGTTATCGCGTAATTATGATGAGCTATGCTTGGTGTACTTCTGCAAAATATTACATCTGCTGTTAGAAACCTTTAATTGAATTTCACCCTAATCTATCGGATATAATAAAAAATTAACGAGTCCATCTGAGAAGGGGTCTTTTCCGTCGTTCTTCATTATGGCGTATGAAGGGCATTGCTATTCCTTAACCATTATTCGAAGTGCAGCTCAAGCAACGTCGTCTGAATTGGGGGGTGGGGGACTTCAATTGTTGTAAGAGGAAAACAGTAGGTTAGCGTTTGTCTATGAGTTTGTTTCTCGAGTTAAAGAGCTGCAACAGTAGTAATTAAAAGAAACATTCTGAGTTAATGTGCCAATGGGAAGTCCAATGCACACAAATAGCCAAAAATATCACAATCGTCACTGATAAGCCTTTTCTGGCTAGAAGTGTGAGCTGATTTTGTACAGACCGTGAAATATCCTTCGGCGTACATGATTACAGGTATTCACTCTCTTCAATTTTCTACAGATCCCATAATTCCTGCAAATGTTTGGAACCATGTGGTCGGCACGTATGACGCGCGCACAGGTATCGCCAAGATTTTTGTCAATGGACGACTAAAAGCTGAGGCAGCCGGGAAGGGTCTCTTGTCTCAAGACTGGGATGCACATGCTGGAATCGGAAAACACAAAAACCAAAGGTTTCTCCAGGGAGAAGTGGACGAGTTTAGGATTTACAACAAGGCTTTGCCGCAGAGCGAAATTGTGAAACTCATGAAAGTGTGCAGTTTTGAAAGAGGTAAGTGGGCGATGGTTGGGTGGTAACACAGTGTTTAAACGTCTGTGCATGTGCTATCGTAATATGAAAATCATCCATTGAGGTCTTTCGTTTTCAGTTCAAATATGTAATGTACGTCTACTTAAGATCTCTCATTTGCTTTTCCTCAGTTTGTGGCGGCCTTTTTAATAGTCCAAAAGGCATTTTGGAATCACCGGAATGGCCCAAAAGCTATAAAGGGAAAACGTCCTGTACTTGGCATCTATCTGTTGATCCGAGTGAGAAAATCACGCTAAGTTTTAAACGCTTCAGTTTGGATGAAGATGGAACGTGCAAAAAGGCCAAACTTGTAGTTAGAGATGGAAGCAGAGAAAATTCGGAGGCACTCGGGGTTTACTGTGGAACCAAGTGGCCGTCAGGGATAACATCTAGTGGGAATCATTTGTTGGTACAGTTTACCAGTACTGCGGGAGGGAAAGGGAAAGGTTTTCTCATCTCTTACAACACAGGTAGGATGTAAATGAGATCATCAACCGTTCTGCCTTTTGCCTTGTTCTTACTGGGTTACTTTTGATTTTAGAGATCTATAGTAATTTGGGATTGTTTGTTTGTTATTATAGAGTTTTAGATCCACGTTAGGAGTCACGTGACCAGACTCCGGCGGTCACGTTCAAAACTGCTGACCTCAAACTGCTAACCGCGGTTTGACGTTTGCGGTTAACTCACCAAACGTAGATCTTAAACTCTCTATTGTTTTTTAAATTTCACTCCACCCTCACCTCCAATCAGATACTAAAATCCACTCGCGGCTTTGGAATTGATATTTTCCCAGCAGCCTTTACATGCTTTTACTGTAACCTCTGTGCGGCTCCTTGTGACATTTTCTTATTCTTTTCTTAATTCTAACGCCTTTTCTATTGAGAAGCGGAATTATTATAAAATCATTTAAGAAGAAGCTCTAAGATTATTTGAAAGGAGTGTTAAGGGCTGCTGCTTTAATTTCCAATACGAGTTTACCTATAATCAGTCAGGTCCACCAATGTGAAATTTATTTGTGAAATGGTCTGAAGAAGCAGATGAACATGGTCAGTACGATAAACACACTCAAATCATAAGCTTAGTAGTTTCGACTGGGGTTTTTCATCAGACTTAACGTGTGTTAGATTGCTTACCTTGCTTGAATTAATTTAAATCAGGTTTTCGAGTTGTGTCGATCAATTTGAAGCTTCAACATCCCCCCCCCCCCCCCTGCGCGCGGCAATTAAACTTTTGAAGATTGGTTCGTTCAAATTGCCACCTCCCCTCCCGGCAAAAATTGCGTGCAAATGTCCCACTTGAGGAGAATTATATAATGAACGATTCTTTGTGTGATCAACGAATGTTGTAGCATTTAATCACTCACTAGTTTTTGGTGCCGTTGTTTGGCTTTTCGCTTGTAAGCATCATTCTACGATGTGAAATTTTCGTCTAAGTCATTAACTCACGAAAGCGGACTCTTTACTTTAAGATTAAGACGCTTGTATTCAGTTTGTTCAATTTCCCCACCCCTGTGGCATGCACGACAGTCAAATTCCCGTGGATTGTCTGAGGAAAAGAAGTTGAAGCTTCGATTTGATCGACACATACAACATATACAGACTATAATAAGCAAAACATCAAATGATGGAATTATATTACTTTCATTTTGCTAGAAACCTTCCACCAGACCAAGAAAACTGAAAGACCACCGACACCCACACAAGCTGACGACTCGCAGAGATGCGCCGTTACCAGACCCGAATATAATGTTACACTAATCGGCGGCATCAAATCTGGGATCTTCTCTGAGGCAAAGCACGTGCACGACATGGACTTGTGCACGAGACATTGTTGTTTACGAAAGTCGTGCGACCTAGCCTTCATGATCCGAGACTCGTGCTATTTGGTGAAATGTACCAGTCAGAGTTTATGTAAGACCAAACCGGCGCGACCTTCAAGTATGAACCCCAGGATCACTTTCGTATCACACTTACGGTCGATGACACCCGAACCAGGTAAATAAATTTGCAATAACTGTAACCGCGAGTTTACCCAAGAAATCGCATCAACAGAATTACGTTCAAACGCATGAAGTTTTACGCACGATGTTACCAGTTGAAAATGACTAACATTTTCAATGTTACTTTTCACAGTTTCTGCTGTCATAAAATAGAATAACTAAAACTTTATAAACCGTGAGCTCCTTCTAATTTCGTGCAATTGATCAGTGGCTTTGAAGCTTAATATTCCTTCTTTTCCTCAGAACTGTCTGTGGATGGAAGCGCTTACAACAAAGCCATCACCTCAAGTATATCCAAACCAACAACTCTGCCCGCAAAGGAACAACGTGTTTGTCACCACACGGCTGTAAGCTACAACGTTACTCTGGTCGGCGGTATCAACGCTGGAAAATTCAGCACGTATGGTGGAGCCCGCAATATCGATGAGTGCATAGGTCATTGTTGCCGTGAAGACAAGTGCGACGTCGCGTTTATGATCCAGGGAAATTGTTACGCGGTGGAATGTACGGATGCGGAGGGGTGTCAGGTGAAGCGAGCAAAACCTTCCGCTTACAACCCTACTGTGGCATACGTATACCGTGGCAATGAAAGACCGATAGGGGGTGAGTTAGGAGAATAATTTTGGGCGAGGCATCTTCCGGAATGTCAGGTTTGAGGAATGTTTAGGTTGAAGAAGGTTTTCAGGGTTACGAAGGCTCGTAAACTCCATTTCCGTTTACTATCTTGGATGATTTTCCGCTGTAGCCTCCACTTTCTTCTCGTATTCTTTAGAGCAGAATGTTGTTTCAGTCTGGAAACTGGGATGCTTTCTCAACTTCAAAAACCTTGTTTCGTTAACTATTCCGCTATTTCCTCTGTTGAGTGGTTGTTCGCTTAACATCAGACATATCAACATAATCATTCTAAGCAACATATGGCAATCTGCGGTCTTTCCTTACACTAAGGTAGCACGGAAAGCCGTAAAAATCTTGAACAAAAGCTCATCTTTCAAACCGGCAGTCTAAATCCCACAGGGATCAACGAACGCTTTTCATTCCACTAATTTATTCTTATTTTTCTCGTTGCCATGTTCCCACCAATAACGCAGCTCCATTTTCTGCCTTTAAAAGCACACACAACCCACAATTCCTCTATTCGCTCCGACGAAGGGCTAACGCTCGAAACGTCAGCTTTTGTAATCGTTACGGTGGCCAATTT